CAAAATGTCCTATATCTTCGCTTATGAACCAAGACCTCCGAACTAGCATAACTCAAAGTTACAAAGACAGAAAGCAAAGATTCTGTGAGTAGATTATTAATTGTAATAATCAGAAGAGGCTTAATTTCTGTTTCAATAAATTCTGGCCCTGGGAGAGCTGGTCACTGATTGAAAGCATGTACTGCATCCTATACCATAGAACCTCTTTCTTACAGAGTATATACTCTCAAATGGCATCATAAAGTCTTCAGTAGGTTATTAGACTGTTTTATTAGATTAGATGATTCTATTTGATGGGATATGTGGTAAGAAGAATGAACCTCATATACATGAGCTCATAATCACATTCTTTTGATGTGAAATGAGTTTCTTGACTAGAAAGATGTCATGATAAATAATTTTATTCCCCTACAGCAGTGAGACTACACCAGGAACTTGAATTTCCTTGACAAAAGGTAATTGTTGCTTTAAGTATTGTTCTAGAAAATATCTAGTCAAGATCTTTTAAAGCCAGGTGTTAATTAAAATTTATCTTGCATAACAGTTTTTATTTGAAAAGAAATGTGCTTTCCCCTGCTTTGGAAACTAATCCTTTGTTGACTCTGAGTCATGCAGAAATTATTTTGACAATGTTCATTCTTAAGTCCTTCATGTCCAATGATCCATTACAACAACAAATCACACCTTGTACTTAAGACACTTGTCTGAAAATATATAGGGCATCAAAACAATTTACAACACCAACCAGCATAATAATTTAAAAAAAGAAGTTGTTCATCTTTTTGACAAAATGAGCATGTTACTAGAGAAGGTAACAATTCAGGAAGTATTAAATATTAACTTAAGGGATTTCCTGAGTCACAGAACTGTACAGAAACAAAACTGTCTAAAACATAATCAGCATGTTAACAAGGCAGACAAGAGTTCTAATTGTCAACTTGTCACCGACAAAGACAGAGGAAAATAAAAAACGATGTAGTTTAAGATCAATTCCAACTTAATTCCCCATTCACCACCAAAAGCTTTTTTTTTAAGCTCTTTTTTTTTTTTTTTTTTTGTACTTTAGGTTCTGAGGTACATGTGCAGATCATGCAGGATACATGGCAAGGTGATTTGCTGCCTCCATTCCCCTGTCACCTATATCTGGCACTTCTTCCCATGTTATCCCTTCCCAACCTCCCCATCCTCCTCTGTCCCTCTCTTAGCCCCCCAACAGACCCCAGTGTGTGATGCTCCCCTCCCTGTGCTCATGTGTTCTCATTGTTTGACACCTGCCTATGAGTGAGAACATGCAGTATTTGATTTTCTGTTTTTGTGTCAGTTTGCTGAGAATGATGGTTTCCAGATTCATCCATGTCCCTACAAAGAACATGAACTCATCTTTTTTTTGTGGCTGTGTAGTAGTCCAAGGTGTATATGTGTCACGTTTTCTTTGTCCAGTCTATCATTGATGGGCATTTGGGTTGGTTCCAGGTCTTTACTATTGTAAATAGTGCCACAATGAACATACATGTGCATGTGTCTTTATAACAGAATGATTTATAGTCCTTTGGGTATATACCCAGTAATGGGATTGCTGGGTCAAATGGAATTTCTATTTGTAGATCCTTGAGGAATCACCACACTGTCTTCCATAATGGTTGAACTAATTTACACTCCCACCAACAGTGTAAAATTGTTCATTTTATTCCACATCTTCTCTATCATCTGTTGTCTCCTGATTTTTTAACATTCGCCATTCTAACTGATGTGAGATGGTATCTCTTAATGTGATTTTGATTTTCATTTCTCTGATGACCAATGATGATGAGCTTTTTTTCATATGTTTGTTGGCCTCATAAATGTCTTCTTTTGAAAGTGTCTGTTCATATCTTTTGCCCACTTTTGAATAGGTTTGTTTTTTTCTTGTAAATCTTCTTTAGTTCTTTGTAGATTCTGGATATTAGGTCTTTGTCAGATGGGTAGATTGTAAAAACTTTTTCCCATTCTGTTGGTTGCCGGTTCACTCTAATGATTGTTTCTTTTGCTGTGCAGAAACTCCTAAGTTTAATTAAATCCTATTTATCTATTTTGGCTTTTGTTGCCATTGCTTTTGGTGTTTTAGTCATGAAGTCCTTGTCTATGCCTATGTCCTGAATGGTATCGCCTAGGTTTTCTTCTAGGATTTTATGGTGTTAGATTTTATGTTCAAATTTTTAATACATCTGGAGTTAATTTTAGTGAAGGGTGTAAGGAAGGGCTCCAGTTTCAGCTTTCTGCAGATGGCTAGCCAATTTTCCCAACATCATTTATTAAACAGGGAATCCTTTCCCCATTGCTTGTTTTTGTCAGGTTTCTCAAAGATCAGATGGTTGTAGACAAGTGAAATTTCTTCCGAGGCCCCTGTTCTGTTCCATTGGTCTATATCTCTGTTTTGGTACCAGTACCATGCTGTTCTGATTACAGTAGCTTATAGTATACTTTAAAGTCAGGTAGCATGATGCTTCCAGCTTCGTTCTTTTTGCTTAGGATTGCCTTGGCTATTCGGGCTCTCTTTCACCAAAAGCTTTTAAGTCATCTTTTAAACTTAAATATGTTTTATCCCTTTACTAGGGATTCATCAAACCCAGAATATTTTAAAAATTGCATGACAAAGAAAGACATTCCCACTGAAAGGCTAACACTTACTAATAACATGGGTCACAATTTTCTATGTTCTATTTATTTAATCTTCAGAACAATATCAAGAAGTAGAAGTAGTACTATCCTACTTTGTAAACGACAATGTTGAGACAACATTGGATTAAATAGCTGGTCACATAAAACACAGCTAATAGCAAAGGACTTGTTATTTCATTTATGGCTACCTGACTTGAATGCTACACACAATCACTAAACTACCCTATAACAAAAGACTTTTACATTTGATTGACTAGAGCTGACAGAAAACATATGTTTTTACATAATAAACCAGTACGGCCATGTGTAACTATATAATATATCCTTAAAAGTACTTATATATAATGCAATCTGATATTCACTTCTATTCTGCTCTATCCATCCTCTAAATTCTGTTTGCTACTTTCTAAATAGATTTCATGTATTACTGATGAGTTGCATTCAAGCATCAAGAAGTCCTAATATTAAAAATATATTAATTATTTCACTGGTTCAAATAATTGGATTTGAGAGACAAAAACAGCATAAGGAAGGGGGAAAATTCAAGCTCTCTAATGTGGCAAATTTAAGGTCAATTCCTATCTCAGCTATTTTAGTGAATTTGAGCGAGTTACTTAACTCCTCTATAATTTATTACCTTATCAGTAATCTAACAATAATGACATAAATTGCAAGGGGTTGTTGTGAGCATTAGGAAAGCTAATTTACATAAAGTGAATAGCACACAGTCTAGGACATGGTAATGACTCAATAAGTTGTGGCTATTAGAAAATAAAGCATAACATTTTCTAGCATATGGAAATTTCCTCTCAACTAAATAGATTTTATTTCATATGAGTAAATTTCTCAGTACCTGCATTCATCTTATACACAAAATTGTCTGATTTACCATATCCTTTTGCCATAAATGTAAAACACATTGTTTAATGTTCCCATACCTCCCATCTTTAGTAGGCTAGTGTACATTATATTCATCCTTCTGGTTTAGAATGGTGATAACACCATATACTTACAGAACACAACATATAATGGAGAATGTATTATCCATTAAGCAGTCCAGGTACTCATTATTAGCTTCAGAAAAATGTATTAAGTAATTTCTATATATTAATATTTTAAGTAGCTCAAATGCATGTGTACAGTATCTTTAAATAAAATTACACATCTAGGAAAGAAATATGAAATTGAAAATAAGAAACTATAAGGATTCTACTTCTAATTATCTCCCACCACCAGATATCTCCTGTCATTTTCAAAATTAGGACAAATAATGTATTTCAACTGCCTCCTTTTTCCATTCGTCAAATTCCTTCTTACTAAAATGAGCTTCTTCCCAAATAAACCAACTCTACATATTATATATATATATATATATATATATATATATATGAAGTATTAGATATTAACCTGAAGGATTTTCTGAGTCACAGAAAGGTACAGAAACAAAGCTATCTAAAACATAATCAGCATGCTGATTATAATGTGTCTATATATATGTATCAGAACTGATACATATACAAGTGTAGTAAGATATCAGAACTGATGTATATATATATGTATATATAGTATATCAGAACTGAAACATATATATATATAGACACATTAAATGTATAGACACATTAAAACTCCAGAATCTATAGCCTTTAACAGCAGTGGTTCCCAAACAAAGCTTCACTTTGCAGTAACTTGGGGAGTTTTTAAATTCTTATGCTCCTTTGCACCAATATGCAGGCAGGTGGAAGCCATTATCCTAAGCAAATGAATGCAAGGACAGAAAACCAAATACTGCAAGTTCTCATTTACAAATGGGAGCTAAACATTGAGTACACATGAACACAAAGAAGGGAACAATAGACACCAGGGCCTACTTGATGGTATAGAGTAGGAGGAGGGTACTGTGCTCACTAACTGGGTGATGAAATAATTTGTACAACTAACCCCAGCAACACACAAATTGCCCGTGTAACAAACCTACACAGGTGTCCCTGAACCTAAAATAAAAGTTGGAAGGAAAAACTTAACATAAAGAAAATTAATAAAATGTCTTAAACAAAATAAAATTATTTTGTCTGTCTTCCTGCCCCATAAATTTTGATAAATTGGTCTGGGGTTAAGGTCTGAGAATTGGAATTTTTTTAAAAGTTTCCCAGATAATTGTGATGTGCAGCCAAGTGTAAAAACTACCGTACTCCAGCATTCTGTGTGCTGCCCCAGGGCCTGCTAGAACAGTGATCGGATCACTGTTCTGTAGATGAAGCTGCCAAACTGGCAACTGCAACTATTATTTCTTTGTTTCAGTAAAGAACATCAATACAGAACTTTTACCCTCTCTCAACCTTTCTCTTAACTCCAATAAAAATCCAGACAGAGGTATTTAAGAAGAAAGGCCTTCTATCAAAGTTCTTTCTCTTCTTGGACTTTTAAATAGTGACTACCTAAATTGAATATCGGGCAAGAGTAAGATTAAGCAGTAGTTTGTTCCAAAGAAGAATCTTCTACCAAGGTAGGTTTTTAGAAATATAAATGTAAGAACTTTCACTTTGGACCTCTAGCTTTTGCTCGTATTCTCAAGAATATCATCCTCAAGGCTTTTAATGGAAATAGCTATGCTACCTAAAAATCTCATATGTGGGTTTTTGTTTTTTGTTTTGTTTTTTGTTTTTGTTTTGAGACAGAGTCTTGCTCTGTCACCCAGGCTGGAGTGCAGTGGTGTGATCTCTGCTCACTGCAACCTCTACCTCCTGAGTTCAAGCAATTCTTGTGCCTCAGCCTCCCAAGTAGTTGGGACTACAGGCACGTGCAACCACACCTGGCTAACTTTTTGAATTTTTAGTAGAGACAGGTTTTCACCATGTTAGCCAGGATGGTCTTGATCTTTTGACCTCATGATCTGCCTGCCTTGGCCTCCCAAAGTGCTGGGATTACAAGTGTGAGCCACTGCACCCGGCCTCAGATGTGTTTTTAAAAAAAATCGTTGTCAGTGGTAAAGATTGTCAAGCCTTAAAATTCCTGAAAAAGTGTCAAGACCATTCACATTGATCAGTTGCACAATTATCCAGTTGTGAAATTATCCAATTTCACAATCTATTGACTTTTTCCACTGCTATATCTTATGGTTTCTAAAGTCAATCATGAGTAGAAGAGTCTTAGAAGGATATACAAGATAGATTTGCATTTCTGTTGTTCTTGCTTGACTCTGGTTTCTTATGTATTGCTAAACCGCTTTTATGAAAACATATTAGAAAAAGCTATTTTAAAGGATAGACACATGCACATAAACTGTAGGATCTGTTGACCTGTCTTATGTCATTTCAAGGCTAATGCAAATGACAGGTATCACATGGGCCCCAGGACAATCTGTCAGCCTATGTGCTTGAATTTTGCCTTCCCAGAACACAGGGTGCCATGTACTTATTGTATTTTGTTGAAAATTATAAACAAATTAAGGACAAAAACATTTTTTTTTCTAATTCACACACTGATAGACAATAATTGACTTTTGGAATAACCTGGAAAAAATCAAATCAAGGCAATAATACCTCAGTAGAGTGATGTTAAAGAAAAAATACACATTACACAGTTTTTTTTTTTTTTGCTTGAGACAGATCTAATAATAATAACACAATAATTGTATTAAGAAGTTATTTTTTACAATAGTCCTGTCACATTAACAATATTTAGGTCACAAATCTATAGAAATCTATAAGTTTTGACTAATTTTAAGTAAACATACTAAAAGTATACCTAATTAGTTATGTTCCAAAGTAGTCACCACTAAGGGTAACAAGGAATTTCCAAAAATGCTTTAATTTTAAAATGTACTTTCAATATTTATCGGAAAATTACCTTTCATAAAGTACCACCATTTTTTATTTTGAAAAATCACAAACATGACATTATTGCTGTGCATCTATTCTGATTCCTTTCCCCAAAACATCAAACACATCTTTAAAGGTTATGTTGGTCTTTCTTCATCGTATTATATAAAAAGTGTTAAAATGCTTTAAATTTGTTATTCTGAAAAACACTATTGATTGATTTGACTAACCATGGAAAACCTTTGGCCTGTTTTTAGGAGCAACTTTAAAGAATGAAATTAACTTTTCTCTTGGGCCTGTTGGCTCTTACTTCATGTTTCATGGTAAGTTCCCACAATTCTAAAGGTTCTTGTTGTATTTCTTGTTAATCATGACTTAAAAGAAAGTTTTGATACCAAAAATTTGTCCTGTATGTAAAAATTCAGTGTCAAGCTGTTGATCTTTACAGACTTGTTCTTACTTTCATTTTCCTTTTTCACATATGACTAACCATCTAGTCAGTGGTTGCCAAGCATGAAGGGACAGGGGACTACAGGAAGAAGGCACAGGACAGGTTGTATCTGGGAGAACTAGCTCTTATCTAGAAACATCTCTTCCTTTTTATTTCTTTTCAAAAGAACTAACAAAATTGTCAGAAAAATGTAATTTAAGCTTACTAAATGTTTTGAAGCTGTAGGAAATGAGAAAATATATAGTTGGACCTTCACGATAAATTTTCTACAAAGACAACATGATATATCAATGCAAGGATTGCTGATTGTACAATAGTTTTTTATTGAAATATTTGTAAAAACTAGAACCAAAAAGCCTTTATGATGTCTCAAAATACATTGGTTATGGCTAAAATATTCCTTTTTAACACACTGGAAAGTAAAGTGCTACTCACTTGGGAAAACAATAAAAACAGAAAAAGAAAGGTCACTCTCTCAAGAAGCACTTACACTAATTCAAACTTTTGAAAAGCATTTGTTAAAGCTCTATAGGATGTAGGTGATGGGGAGGAAGGCAGAAAATCACACTGCCACGTGTGTTCCTATGCAACAATTTTGCATGTTCTTCACATGTACCCCAAAACCTAAAATGCAATAAAATAAATGGGAAAAAAAAAGAAAGTAAAGTTCATTTATGAGACAGTTGAAAAAAAAAAAAAAAAAAGCTCTATAGGAGATCCCAAAATATATAACACAAAGTAACAAGTGATATGTGCCAGAGACAAAAACATCACTAGCATAATTTAAATTTCAGAGTAAGATCAGATTCCCTAGTAAATGTTGGGGTTGGGTAGGCTTGACAGAAGACAAAGAGCTCTGTTTGTCTCATTTCTTGATAATTCCTGACAATCCACTGTGTGTTGGGCCTAGTGGTGCTGACACAGAAATACCAAAGTTGAATTCCAAATTGGGATGTTCATATATTACATCTTCCTTTCATAGCATATTACCTACCTAAGAGAAACTATTTCTGAATCAGTCTACATTACACAGTGAACAAATAAATGTCAATAGACCCTAGCAATGGCACAAGCAGATAAAGTAGCATTATTGTTCTAAAGCATTTAGTGATATTTAATGACATTTGTATAAATATCATTAGTGATATTTAATGACATTTGTATTGTTCTGAAGCATTTAGTGATATTTAATGACATTTCTATAAAAATTCTGAGGTTGAAATAGAAGAGTAATGTACTCCATGAGATACCTATATCGGAAACATCTGATTTCACTTATTAAAAGTGGTCATTTCCAATCCCTATCTCAGACCTGAGAAAAAAAGAATAGCTGATCTTGGGGCCTGGAAACCTGCATTCTAGAATATTCTTACTAATGCTGAAGTCTGAGACTACTTGAATAAATTTTCTTGAAATTTACTTCTCAAGTTCAGTATTTCATGCTGAGAATAGGCAACTTCTGACGAGCTTTACATAAAACATCCATCTTGAGGATTCATATGAATTAATGGCATATTTTTATTCCAGAAGCCTGAATTGCAAGACAAATGCAACTTAAATTCTTCTCTACCTTGAAAGAGTATATAATACCATGTCCTGAAGAAAGTTAGTTTAATACATAAATTTTCTCATTAGAATTAAATATTATTGGATATAAGAAAACAAGAGTCATAGGACATAATTTTTAATGTCACTCTAACAAAAATTTTTTGCTCTGTTCATTGTCTCATGAGTTGTTAAATCTTAACAACAATCTTAGGTGTTAGCCTAAATAAAGAAACTTTATTGTACTCAGCATCTAGAACTTTCAATACATCAGATTATTTTTATGAGGTAGGGATTAGCTAGGAGTTAAATTAAAAATAACAGTTCATATTTATATATTTACAATGTACTATGGAGCACAGTTTTACCCCCAAACCTCACAAAAACACAGGAAATATTTGAGATGCTCCTTTATATAGCACAGAGCTGAACATGAGACAAAACCTCAATAAGTGTTATGGGAATGCAACAATGAGTGAATGAGCCTTTGTGTAGCTGACGCCAAGGAATAACAAACAGGTTTCAGAGTCTTACCTGTTCATTCATGCCATTGGATAGACTACATGAAAGATGACACAGGGATGGATTCTAGGCCAAGTGTAAGATCAAAGGTAAAGCATCTCATGATTGACAAGGATGTCTGCCATGCTCACAAGATGGATAAGGACAGCATTTTTGCCAACACCTGCCATCCCTAACAAGAGAAGCCTTTGTTTGCAGCACAATCTATTCACTAAACTGCTATGGTTAAACTGTCAGTCTGGCAGTTTCTAATTCCTAAGAATAGGTAATAGATAGAAGTTTTTGAACAGTAAAATAAGATTAAAAAGGGAGTATAAATAAAATACTTTACAGAGGGGCTATGATAAAATAATTACCAAAAGTGAAGCAAAACCTTTAGCCTGAACTAAAGCAATGATAAGCAATTATCAAATAACCTAAGACAGCCAGTCGTTCTCAAAACTCTACAAACTCTAAAAACTCTGTCAGGGACACAAATCATCTGAGGATATTGTAGAACTTCAGACGCTGATCCAGTAGGTCTGCCTGAGCCCCTAGAGTCTACATTTCTACCAAGCCCCCAGGTGATGCTGATGCTGATCAGCTGGTCCGCAAATAACATTTTGAGTAGCAAGGCCCTAGTCTACTGAGAAATCAAACAGAGAAAGATTGAGGACTTCTTCGGAGTTTGTACAAATGCTGGAGTCTGCCTCAAATGTTGTCATGGGAAAAGCCTTATGCTCCTTGCCTTGTGCAAGGAAGGAAATGGCATTCTGAAATCAAGTAAGAGAAATTTCTGCCTATCACCAAGTCCGGTAATTCATTCAACACAAAATACTTATTGAGCACTTAATATTTGCCAGGCACTATTCTAGATGTTGGGTAAACAGTAGTGAACAAAACAGACAAAATGTTCCTAACCTCATGGAGCTTATATTCTACTTGGGGAAGACAAGCCATAAACAAAATAACTGACTATGTAATGCAGAAAATTTGGGAAGAAGGAATTTGGGGAGGAGGTAGAACAAAGATGTGATTTAAGATAGGGTAGCCCAGTGGAAAATGACATTTGATTAAAGACCTGAAAGAGGTGAAAAAGCTAACCATGCAAGCAGAGGAAACAGGAAGTTTCAAAGACTGGAGTGGGGTACACTTGCCTAGTGTTAAGAATAAGGGGGTTAGCATGGCTGGTAGAGAGTGAGATGGGAAGATGAAACTTCTAAATTATCTGAACAGCATCCATAAATATTTACTTAATGTCACCTATAGAGAGTGCAAGAAGGATGCAAACACTGATAAACATGACCTCTAACTTCAAGAGGTATATGACTCTCAGAGGTTACAGGATAGACTGGTAAAAATAGTCAAAGCAGAAGTTGACAAACTTTTTCTGAAAAGAGCTAGATAACAAATATTGTAGGCTTCTGTGGGCCTCTAACAAGTGGTCAACTTGGCTGAGGTCGCTTGAAAGCAGTTACATTAAACGAATGGGCATGGCTATGTTCCAGCAAAACTTTATTTACCAATCAGCCAAATTACATTTGGCCCACAGCCTTAGTTTGCCAACTCCTGGTCTACAGAAACACTGAACAAGGCAATATGGCATGTAAAAACCTGATACTTCATTTACAAAATAATCATAAAATTAACCCAATATTATTCATGAGTTTACAAAAAATATTTATGTTTCACTGAAACTGTATGCATGCAAAATACTATGCTAAATTGTCATTTTAATTATTTTTTCTAAAGAACATCATGTGGTAGATACTGTTACTTTCTCTCCTTTAAAGATGAGAAAAGTAACAGAGAGGTTACATAACTTACCCAGATTCACACAACTTGTGAATGAGAAACAAATTTTAACTTGCCTCCATCTATTTGCCTATCTTCTGCCTTTTCTTCTAATTACCTGGGATGAACTAAAATCACCCCAATGTGTTCTAAGATCAACCACTCAGCTCGTAAACTAGACCCTATTCTCTCCCCTATGCAGGGAGGATCCTGCAATTATCCTGTAATTATCTACCCTAAATCTAAACATCCTACATCATCAATTTTTCCTTCTCTCTATTGATTGTTCCTACTGCCACATAAATATGAAGGAATATCATCTATATGTTTGTTTTCATTCTCCAGTGACTCCCATTATGGTCTGTTTGAAAAAGCTACCTCTGCACATCTTCACTTTTCCTGCTCTGTCTTAAACTACTCCAAGCAGATCTTGCCCACATCATTCAGATTAAACTACACTTGTCAAATTGTACTCCAAACGGCCATGCATAATGGTCAGCTTTCTGTTCCCATCTAAATTGTATTTGACATGATCAGTCTCCTACTTAAAGTCAGTTTTTTATTTTTTGAACTCCCACACAACTCCACTCTCCTAATTTTTTTTACACTTTTATGACCCCTCCTTGTTGGTCTCCTTCTCCAGACACATCTCCTTTCCCTGATCTCTAAATGTCAGAGTGTCCCAAGACACCATCCTGTTACCCTGTCTCCACCTCTAACCACAAATCCAGTTGCTCAGGCCAAAAAACGAAATCATCCTTGACTCTGTCACCTCCCAGATCCACTCCTTCAGCAAATCTTGCCCACTCTGCCTTCACACCATCATCTAAATCTGACCCTTTCTCACTATCCTCCTGCTAGCATTCTAGGCCAAGCCACCATCACTTCCTACCTGTTGGAACAATAACTGGTCTCCCTGCTTTCACTCTTGTTCCTGTAGCTTATTCTCCACACAATAACCAGAAAGATAACATCTTACCATATCACTCCTTTGTTCAAAACCTTCTAATGTTTTTCATAATACTTGGAAGG